TGGTTGACCAAGTTGGACCTTAAGGGTATTGTGGGTATTTCGGGATTTTGATGGAGTTAGTCTCACTGTGGTTGTAGGCAGTTGAGTTCGGAGCTGTGATTTGAGAGTTGGACCTTGTCAGTCAGTGCTGCTTGTGAGGTGAGTTTTCCTCACTATACGTAGGGGTCGAAGGCACTAAGGCGTGCCCATTGGATTGATATCCTAGTAGTTATTGATATGTTGAGTATGAGTTAGTTATGCATGCTAGATCTGTAGGACTACCTGTGACACTGTTTGATTGTCTGTATGTGTATTTATCTGTTACATGTCGACATATTGTGTGGGTTCGGTTGAGGTTGTACTGCTCCGTGTTGTTGCCAACAAACCGTGGAGTTTGCCAGATATGAGTTGAGGGCCAGGGAGAGCATGCCAGACTCATAGTGAGGACTCCTAAGCATTCCAGATGCGAGCTGAGGGCCAAGGAGAGCATGCCAGGCTCGCATTGAGGGCTAGTCGTTTATATTCAAGTCCGTGGACTGAAGGAGCAAGCCAGACATAAGCTGCTCTCGAGCTAGACTTATGCTGTGGGCTCGGGAGCAAGCCATATATGAGTTGTGGGCCTGTAAGACAAGCCAAACTCATACTGTGGGCTCAGGGGTAATCCAGTCTGTAAAATTTGTGGACCCATTACATGTTGTTACTATATACGTGCTATTTGTTATGTATCGGTATTTTGGGGGAACTCACTAAGCTTCGGGTTTACAGTTGTGGATTTTGTTTCAAGTACTTCAGATGACCGCGGGAAGGCGAAGGCTTGAGCGTGCACCTCCTCACATTTTATGTCATGCTTTCTGGGATTTCTCCGATGATAAACTAATTTGAAAACAATTTGTAAACAATGAATGGTTTTTGGGATATTTAAAAAGTTTAAATTTTTCATGAATTTTACGGATGTTACATAAATTTAGAACTTTCGTTCGTTAATTTTTTTTTTCAAAAAAAAAACTTACTTGCTTTTTTATAAGAACATGTTGGTATAAATTCGAGTTTTTCTACGTCGAACGTTTTAACGTTATTGTTATTATTTTTTGTTTTGTTTTAGTGCTTATGTTTATACATTTCCTATGTATGATTCTGGTCACATATAATAAATTTTTGATTATTTGAACTTCCGTTCATTAACTTAGAAAAAATAATTTTACTTGTTTTTATGTACGTTTCAGTATAAATTCGAGTTTGTTTAAGTTTCGATGTGAATTTTGTGTACGTTTTTTATGTATGAGTTTGGTTACATATAATACGTTTTCATACGACAGTATAAAGTGGAGTTATTCAGTTGTATCGACCTTATGTATTTATATGCCAACAAATGCAAAAGTACCTAACTTTTATCAATTTAATTATCAAAATTCAACTTACAAAACGGATTGACGCCACCACGACGCTCGGCGGGTAAGTTAAGTTCCCATTAAGATTCAACTTTTTTAAGTAGGAGTTCAAATTGGTCAAGCTTTTATAGAGATACTAGTTTTAAACCCATGGAAACCAAGGTTGACAAAGAAAAACACTATAAAAGTAACCAAATAATTACAAACATATATAAAAAAATCAACCCCATCTCAAACAAAAAAAAATAACCAAATAATTCCATAAATATATGCAAAATCAATCGCATCTCAAACATTAAGGTTAAACATATAAAAGTAATATTAAAGCAAGAAAATGCTCAAATAGGGATTTATATAGCTTGAAAAAGGCATCTACATTCGTGCACTTAATGATTCCACACTTCACCATTTTCTCATGCTATTATTTGGAAGAAACCAGAAACCTAACCATATATATTTCCCAAAATCAGACTACAATTGAGAATTCATTGGATTTTGGTGATCTCTAGACACAAAAAGATTTTTCCTAAAAGAATTACCGGTTTAAACATAGAATATAAAGGATAATTTACATTCTTTTTGAATCGTTAAAAGTACAACCACTTGTTTATTCCGTTTAAAATGGGTAATTCATGAAATATCAACAAAATTTATACTATTTATCATATTATGCAATATACTTTTATTTCATAATGGCACCAAACTACAAACTTACATCTTTTTCATCCATAATAGAAAGATACCTGCATTTATCTGACTAATAATAACCACAATACACCCCATAGATAAAAAAAAAACTCAAGAGCTAAGCCTTTTTTTTATCATATCTGACAACATACTTTGGGATGTAGAAGTAAGTCGATGAAAAGATGAAACAAAAAGCACCTCGTTTCAACATGAGACGATATACATAAGTTTTAGACCTTGACAACACAACACAACACATATACCCATTCCTTTCCAATGGTCAAAACGGTCTAAAAGAATACAACTTTCGTCACTACAAAAAATAATTCTTTCAAGACCTGTAATCTTACCAATGGCCAAAATGATCTACAAAATACAGTGGTTTCATCAATATAGAAAACAATAAAGTGGCTGCAAAAAAATTGTTGTAAAGGTATAAGAACTTTTATGTATTTTTCCTTTGAATAAATAACCTGAGATGAAAATTGAAAACCAAATACTTAATGTAATGAAAGAAATAAATATGAGTCCGATTCATAATATAAAGTTACCTATTTATGGGTAAGTACTTTTTTTTACCGGCGATAGTGAAGGCAATATTGGGCGTAAAAGAAACACTACCATAGTCACCTATAAATTCTCCAATTGGACCTGGAAACTGACTAACACATCTGAAATTTGAACAGTAAATAGTCAGATACTATAGGTAAAAAACAAAAGAGGATTAAGTATAAGCCATAACATGTCAAATTAAATAAAAATAGGAACGAATCCATAGCTATTACATCTGCAGGAGTCATGTTGTCTAGGTTGATATAGATACAAGAGTGCATAACATCCGGTCTCAATGATATGAACCATTCGAAAACAAATGGCATATCTCCAGTAGATAGAAAGACTGTATAAAATAAATGGTGGTGTAGGTTTCGTGCTTCCGTCTCAATACAAGACTAAATATATAACATAAATGCAAAATAAAGAAACAATACTTTAACTGGTTGAAAGTTGAGTTTGGTATCTTCGCTCTAAAGGCGACACCTTCAATCCAAATTAGTTATAAAACCATGCGTAACAAAGCAATAATGAAACACCATCCAAAATAAGAAAAAAAAGTCGTTACTGAGATAGATAAAAAAACTCTCATCATTGGCGTTCTTCTTCATGGATAATTGCTTGATCTGGTACAATAAACAAATAAATGAAAGTAACTGTTATTTCTCGGAGATTTCTATGTTAGGTATAATGTTATTTCAAAGCAATGTAAAGGACTATAAGACTATAAATCCTTTAACTTCCCATTTTATCTCAATAAAAATATATATCGACAACAACTCCACAAATCCATAAAAATGTTTAATTTTCGATTATTCATCAAAAACTTGAACTAATTCTTTTTCGATGGGAACCCCATTTCCTTCTAACTGCGTTATCAAGCCTTAGGTATCTATCCTTAAACCTCGATATTAGAGGGAAAGGCTATAATATTGTTTCTCTTAGGCATTTCATCAAACACCTATTAGGCATTATCATAAAACATCAGTTTCATAACATCTCTTGTCATTAACCTGTTACAGCCATAAAAAAACATTAAAGCAATAAACATGAGCACAACATTTGAATTATAAACTATGACAAAAACATTATTTACTTTTTAGGATGAACATATTCCAATAACAAAAAATGGAACAACAACAAGATGGCAACAAAATTTTAAATCATTTAGATTTTTCACATACATGTTCAACTAGAAGACAGGATATGCCCATCGCCATCTAAAAATTAGCAGGGGTGAAAATATAGAGATGAGAAGACTAAAGAAAATAGAAATTTGAGGGTTCTTCCTTAATCAATAGGTGGGGAAAAAAACTTGTAAATCGAACAGATGCATACTTGGATATGAATGATTAATAATGAACAGAGCCAAGACGTCGTCAAGAGAATGAAAGGTCTTTCTTATACTCCTTAATAATAAAAACCTCCACAAAACAATCATGATATGTGTAGGCAAGAGAGAAATAGGAGAGAGATGGATTTAAAAAATGATATATATATTTCACGTCTCCGGTTTAGGGAGAGTTTGAAGAAAAAGCGATGATCGATCCAACTGAAATTGAGGATGGAGATTGAGTATGACCGATTGATATTGAAGCACATCATAAAAAGTAACCCTAATTCATTTGGTAATACAATCAGGTTCCTTAAATTGAATGCATTTGAAATGAGCGGGGCTTATAACTTGGGCGAGAGTTAAGAATTTAAGAATCAAATATAAACAACTGACAGGCAATTCCGATTTCAAAGCAATAGAAGGGTATTCGGTAAATATACTTATTGTGAAATGAGCGGGAAAGACATTGGGAGGTGGGCTGAGCAATTGACACGTGATAAATTGGTACTCTTTTATTAGGATAGGGGATTTAAACTCAGAGGTGGTTTGAATCTAATTTAATAAGTTCAAGTACAAAATACAAGTTTTGAACCTCGTAGATTCATCGCTATTTGCTGCTAATTCCTTACAATCTTGAAATGCTTAGTAACTAAATGCGCATTACAAGGTGATTTTGAGCTGGGTAACTTTCAGTCTTGCATAAGAATTGAAATCCGAGTAGCATCAAATTGAAGTTTCCAACTTTTAACACTCAAATTATGGTTAAAAACAAATCGTTAATCTTTCAAGAATGAACCTACTGAGCCTTCTCCCACATATATATAATTGCAAGTTGCAACAATCAATTTAAAATTGACTAATTGAGGCAGCCGCTTTGTTAACTTGATAGTTGATTATCTTTGCAATAGTTAAGGATGAAAATAATCAGGATCTGAAACAGAATCAAAGCTACTTCATTTTCTCGGCTTTCTCTATTAAGTCGTTAAAACTCTCATATATAATTAAAACTTGAAAACAACTACATACATATTACATATAGAGAAGATGGAAGGAATAAGTTAAACAATTTTGGCAACGAGATCAAATCTTGAAAGAAACTTGTTATGATTACAATCAAGCATTTCACTCAAACTGCAAGAAACATTCTTCTGTTTCAAAAGCTTCTCACGTCTCTCAAGTCGTTTCTTGAAACCATGGTGAAAAAACTCGGGATAATCAGCAGCTTCCTCAATTCCCCGATCCATCACCTCCACCAAAAACCTAATCCTCGGTTCCAACGAGTTCTTAACACTCTTAATCAAAACCGGTGGATATCGACCCACTAAACTCGCTATTTGACCCGAAGCAAACCCACGGGTTTTCAAATAATCAAGATTTGGTTTCAAAATCTTATCCACATCTCTACATATAACTTCCGGGAAATTAATCACTACCTTTTGTAGATCCGATTTCGTTAACCCTAACGAAAGTAAAAACTCGGTTGTGGGCCGTAGCCGCTTCTCAACATTGTACCCCATAATCGACGGGTATTTAACCAAGATTTTCCCGATCATTCCATCTTTGGTCAAACCGATGTTTACAAGAAAGTCAACTACCCCCGAAAGCTTCGAATCGATGCTGTAGCTTATGATTCTAGGGTTATGGAGGATGAGTTTACCAAGTTGAGTTCCGGACACACCGAGTGACTCGAAGAAACCGAGGAGTGGGCAAAGTTTTTCTTCGATGCTGTGGGTTAAAATGTGGGGGAATTTGGTTATGGCGGAAGGGACTTCATCGGGTTTTGTTGAGAGAGTTGTGAGGCATTGGATCATTGGGATGAGTTTTTGGTTTAGATCGAGGGTCATGATTTTGGGACATTTTGTGATGATTGATGGAAGCTTTCGTTCTTGGATGCCAATGGATTTTAAGTAATCCCAGTTTTCAGATAGGTTTTGTTTTTGGACAGATTCCAGGCGTTTGCATTTTCTCATGATTTCGTTAATGCCTTTCTCATGAAAACCTTTCTGCTTGAAGAACCATAATATGTGGCTGTTGCTGTTGCTGATGTCCATATGACCTGAAATTTAGGGAAGAGGGAAATGGAAATCAACAAAGCGTTTATACCTTAAATTAAACTAAAAATAATATCACAAATTCAACCCATTTAAGTGAAAATGGGTCATTAAACAATCACACTGTAAATGTTTAGAATTCATTTCAAAGAATCAGCACATTGTAAACAGCTACTAAACAATCACAAATTCACAATCAGTAAACAGAAATGACATCATTAAATCGGTAAACAGAATGTCATCATTAATCAGTAAAGATGTTCTGAGTTATGTGTTCTGACCTGTGGAGTCGGGGAAGGCGTCGTTGGTGTGCCGGATTCAAAGAAAGGCGTCACCGGTGTGCCGGTGGAAGGTGGCGGTGTGCAATTCTAGACGGTGGAGGCGATTGAATGTGTCGTCGATCGATTTGGGACTTGGCAGAATCAGAAAAAATGAGAATGGGATTGTGATTATCGGCGATGCCGTCGCTGCTGTGCAGGAGCCGGCTAAGGCCTCGCCGGTGGACTGTGACGTTATGCGATTGAACGGTGTGTGCGTCTGTGCGATTGAACGAGTGAGCGAGAGAGAACGGATTGTACCCTAGTTGTCTTGTGTGTTTGTGATATCGGCCAACAAAACGAGATATAAAACCTAGCTAAGTTTATTTTAATTTTGTATATAATATTTTTTTTTCAAAAAAGATTTATAAAATATATATATTAATTAATATTACATATATAAAAGACCAGATAAAGGGGTACTGAACCGGCGATTACCCAACGGTAGCGGTTCCAAGATAATGAGAACCTAAACCGGAACCACTTAAGGTGGTTCCAAAATTTTAGGAACAAGCTCGAGGTCAACGTCACAAAATTTTTTAACATTCACTTGCAATGTTGTGCAAACCTGGAATTGTTGTAGATATTCTTGCTAAACTCATGAACCGAATGTCATGAGATGTTTTTTTTTGAACCGACAAATATAAATATATAATCTACACCTAAACAAACATCTAATTCCACTAATGTCCACAACCGGACTTGAACCCTCGACCTCAAGGAGGGAGGGTACCACCTGATACCGCTGGCCTAGAAGTCATTTGGTTGTCATGAGATGTGTTTTGTTAGATGGTTAGATATTCATGTAGAAATAGAAGGGGATCATTTGCTTTTACATTACGTATTCAGCAAAAAAGTTGTGACAAGCCCTCGAAGCCAAGTACAAGAAATAGTTTTCTGAAATCGATGAGTCCAAGTTGACTTTTGGGAAGAGGGAATTATGCTTTGTGCCCGGCTTCCAGTTTGGTTAATATTTGGCTGCCTCGTATTACCGTTACGCTTTCCGATTACGTGTGTTTCCTATGGTCAAGACAACTGAATCTGTATAATTGCAACATGTTATTAATGTATTTTAAACATCTCTTCATGAGTAATCGGATGAGGATGCAGTCCGTGTGTGTTTATTATATTTGTTGGATAAGGGGTTCAATGGTTGGTTAGCTCACCAATCTGTGAAGGAGAAGTATTTGGGTTTGGTATCCAACTTTGATGATTCAACATGAATCATGTAGTTGGGGGATAATTTAGGATCGATTGTACACTCAGCTAGAGATGATATTCAATAAGCTTTATAGGCTTATTCATCATGTCAAAGAAAAAACCCTAAAAAAATTAATGTACAACCTCGGTGTGTTTTCATATGTTTTTAAGGTAAAATACATGATTATCATTTCAACATTTTCTATTTGCTAGTATCCTGATATATGATTCTTTTAGATATGGATTCTAGAGAGTTTTCCAGTCAACATTTTGTTTGGTGCGCGCCAATTGAATGTGATCCCTCAAGCTATTAAATGTGATCCCTCAAGCTATTAAATGGTACAGGCTTAGGAAATTACAAAAACATCAATGCAATACGTTTCTTGATGTCGAGCGGGGATGATTATTTATATAAATTTATCATTTTCTCCTATGTATAATGATGTTAACAGTTAACGTACAATTATGTTAGGAAGATAATATGCTTATAGAGAAGTTGCAGTCGACAACAGATGAGATTCATGCGACATGGTGGTCTTTTAGCTCTGCATGGATTAATCTTGATGCTTTACTTACTACCTACGTTCAAAGGGAACCATCTCTCACACCATCACCTCACGTCCTCACATGTCACCTAATTATGAGCCTCCAAAAAATAGGTACAACGCGATACTAACAAAGGTTCATATACATCCGACCTACCACCACAAACTGGACCAACAATAAATAAGGACCAACTCGCTATGTATTTGCAAAAGGAGCTTTAAGAATGTCGGTGGCACATGAAATGTGTATTATACAACTCGAAGTTGTGGTAGGCATACACGTACTTCCTAGTAATAAGGGTGTTAGACAGGATGATGACACCTCACAGGGGTTTGAGGTACATTGTTAATTAATTCTCGCACATTGTTATTTATATTTATGGTATATCCATTATTGCATCATTGATATTTTAATAGTATGGATTCGTTAAATGATTATAGGGTGACAAGGTTACCCTGTTAGAGCAATTTATCATAGAGGATCGTGGTCCGTTACAGGATGATGACTTTTGGACACATGGGTTTAAGGTACATAAATAATTACATATGTGCTATTATACGTTGTTGTATTGTTAAAAACTTAATTATATTTAATCTTTTCTTTTTGTAGGATGAAACTATTAAAACTGTAAAGCAGTCAGATGACGGACCTGCGATAGAAGTGTGTAACATCCCAAAAATACCAAAAAAAAACTTTTCAACTTTTAAGTAATAAAACCCATCCATAAACATCACAAGTCAAGTAATCCAAAACATGAGTATATTGTTTTCACAAAACTATCAGAGTAAATCCCACAATCTTGTAGTGCGGATATCATCGGTGGATGCAATGCAGTTAAGCTGACTCCTTTCCCCTACTACTAGAAGTACATGCAGGGGCGAAACACAAGCACTACAGCTAGGGGGGCCGGAATTAAGACTTCATAATTAAACTATATAAACAAATTTTATTTAGTTCAAAATTATGACATATCAAAAATTTAAACAAGAAAACTAATATAAAGATTGGTAAACCGTTTATCAAAGTGGAACACGACGATCTTTTGCTTTTTTAAAATCTTCTACAATTGTATCTAAACTAATATTTTCAGCAAGTTCCCTTTCGAAGTGCAAAACCAATGAGTCATTCAAAAACTCGTCTTCCATTTTATTCCGTAATCTTGTTTTAATGAGGTTCATTGCTGAAAATGATCTCTCTGTTGTAGCAGTAGAAACTGGAAGAGTAAGTATGAGACTAACTACTCGATAAATAAGATGAAAGTTCGCTACTCTTCTAGTCTTTATCAACCATTGACACAATTCGGACATAGATGTCAATAGTTTATAATCTGCATGTTGAATGACATCAATCTCATAATGTTGAAGTTATATCTTCAAAACTGCTTTCTCTTGTTCATTGAAATCTTCAGGATAAAACTTTTCTACTAACTTAATTATATCACCACTTTGAAAAGGCTCATCAACACTTTTAGGATCTAAAGTTGTTGAAAGTCGAAGCAACTCCGTGGAGCTATCGTTGAATCGATGATTTAGTTCCATTATTTGACAATTAATTGCTTCGTAAAATATATCCACTCGGTAATGATATTCAAGTGTATGATCACTACGCTCGTTACGAGCTCGGGCCCCTCTACTAAAGTAGGGAGAAGACATATCAGGGATATCAATGTTACGTTCCTGACAAAATGAATTAACAAGAGAGAGCAAACCATCCCATCTTTCATCTTTCATTTTTTGTAATAACAATTTGGTAGATGCAACTAACCTCAATGCATTACAAATATCTTGAGTTTGTCTTTGTAAAGCTTGACAAAGTAAATCGGTGATCTCCATTATTTCTTTCACGAGATGAAGAACAAAAATGAACTCAAATGTAGTAATAGCCTCATATGCTGAATCTGCATCGCCTTTGATTGCACCTGTGCCATCTTCAATAATTTTAAGTAAAACCTCACAAGTTGGACTAAACATTTTGATTAAGCTCGAAACTGATTTGAGGTGAGAACTCCATCTAGTATCACCAGCTCGTTGTAATGTACCAATTTGATTAAGACCTCTACCTGTCTCTAACTCATCAATAGAAATCTTATATGCAATTTCCTCGGCTTGTGCATCTCTAATTTGGTCGGCACACTTGGAGGAAGCACCAACAACATTAATAACAAAAGATAATCGAGTAAAAAACTTATGTAATGCAACAACTCCTTGTGATGCAGCCATTAATGCTAACTGCAATCGATGGGCAAAACAATGAACATAATACACATATGGACAATCATTTGAAATCAATGCTTGCAAACCCTTGAAATGACCTCGCATATTGCTTGCACCATCATACCCTTGGCCACGAATAGACTTAAGATCAAGATTGTTATGTGACATTACTGAATAAATTGCATTCTTAAGAGTTTGTGCTATAGTGTCAGGTACATGAACAAGCCCAAAGAAACGCTCCATAACAAAGCCATCTTTATTTAAAAATCTCAAAACAATTGACATTTGTTCTTTATTAGACTGATCACGTGCTTCATCAACAACTAAACAAAATTTCCCACCATCAATCTTCGCACAAATCATCCTCCTCACCCTATTTGATATAAGGTTTAGAACCTCTTTCTGAATTGACGGTGATATATACGATGCATATTTAGGAGCAGTATGGAACAATTCTTCCATCTCCGTGTTAAAATCACCAATTGCCTTCAACATTTGATGAAAATTTTCTCTGTTTATGGAATCTGGTCCTTCATCATGGCCTCTATATGCAACTCCTTGAAAGGCGCACCAACGTACTGCATAAATAGTAGTTTTCAGTCTTAATCTATTATTTTTACGCTCTTTTTCTGTAAATGTTTCAAACACATTTCGTATATCTTGTGCCTCGTTTAACAAATCATCACAAGATTTTTGTGCAACGTTGTGAAAAGATGTACACTCAGTCCCCATGTGATGCAAAAAAGCACAACTTTTTTCCACCAACTTTCTTCCAATTCTGAAATCCATCTATAGTAAATGCTTGTTGGCCGTAGTGTCCCATTCCAGAAGGCTTGTTGAATAGAAAACATGGAAAACAAAACGCAACATCTAAGCTCTCTGAATATTCAAGCCAATGATATAATTTAAACCAAGAAGCTTGAAAACTACGTTTATAGGTTTCTGGTCCCGATTTTGGATATACAGAAAGTGTTTGTTGAAAGGGACCAAGATTAATATATGCTCGCCTAATAGTATCTCGTTGATTAACCGGATAATCATAAATTTGCTTACGTAAACCAGGATCTCTTTCTAATGTATTAAGATCAATTTCATTAATTTTAAGATGAGGTTTTTTGAAACGATTATCAGTATTAGGAACATCGGGTGTGAGGGCATCTTCATCCAAAATAATCTCCGGTGGGTTTTCAGAATCTTGAGCAGAACTTGAGTGTTTTCTTTTAAAAAATCCATCAACAGTTGATTGTTTTTTCATGTTAATATCTAGTAGACAGCCAAATTTAATAACAATCAACAAATAACAATATAAAATAACAATAAATAATTAAAGCTTTTATTTTTAAAAGATAATATTAACTGCATATGATATAAACTACTCTTATA